CAGATACAGAGGGCCAACTGCATTATTCTAAAAATTAAATAAAAATATTTATTAATCCCATATTAAGATAAAGAACATTTTTGGTCAGTTACATAAGATAATGTGCATTATTATGGTTTTGTATTCAGTTAGTGGATGTAGATATACTAATTTATCTTAGTATTTCTCAACCTTACTTTTGTTATTACTCTCCCACCCTCCCATAGATATTTCATATTTTTTAAATAACTTCCTCCAAAAATATTAACTTCATAGATATATTGCATTGCTGTTTATGTACAAAATACATATCTGTGCTTCCTGCATAAAGAGTGAGATTTTTTTTCACCATTCCTTAAGAACCTGTTGTGAATGGTGATGTATAAGGTACTACCAACTCAGAGGTGTTAAGTGACCTGCCTCAAGTTGAGCAAAATAAAGGGCAGGAAAAGAATAGAATTTATTCTATCTAAACTTAAAAGTCAAATGTCAAGAGTTTAACCATTATAATATACTGTTGCTGCTTCATAATTATTGGTTTTTATATGTATAGTAAAATGGAAATAACTTTTAAAATTTAATTTTTATATTTCAAATTAATAGATAATTATGAAATTATAGAAAAACAGAGAATATGCAAACGTATAAATATACAAATATGTAAATAATTGAGCCACCTGTTTTTCCAGCTCTCCAGGAACAACGTTAACATAGAACTTTTCCCTAAGCATTTGCACATGTATTTGCATTTTTAGTAATTTGCAGTTTATTGGAAAAAAAAACAAAAAACTTTACTTGGAAAAAACTGCTTCAGAGACAGAGACTTTATTGAATGTAGTGTATGTATGCTGGAATTTTATTGAAATGTTATCTTTTCCTCCCTGACCCAACCCCTGAGGGCACTAGAATTACATCAGTGGTTTGGATTTTATCATTATTCACACATGCTATGTCTGTCATTATCTGCAAATCTTTTTGCAGATTTTAGTAAAAGTTGAGGAAGCTAGACTAAGGGAGGAGTGAATCCCTTCAAATACTCACCTTGAGTATTTCCCTTCACAATATTATGGATGATTTTCTTTAGAAACCGTCTTAAGTCTCAACCTGTAAGGTTTTTGTTGTTGTTGTTTATTTGCTTGTTTCTTTTCTTTTCTTTTCTCTCTTTTTCTTTTCTTTTTTTTTTTTTTTTTTTTTTTTTTTTTTTTTTTTTTTTTTTTTTGGTTACATGGGATCTTTTCTATAGCTAACTGGGAAAGGTATAGGGAACTGTTCCACCTTCATAGAAAACCCTTCTTTCTTCTTCTATTCATCTGTTCCATCCTATAATCACAGGTGAATCTCTTCACCCCCATCTTTGACAGTCTCCACATCACAACCTCCCTGTGTTCTTTGCTTCTAAGCTACATCTGCTGGCTTGGATCAACTACCCACAGTCTTGCTCTTACTTTCAAGCTCTTTGAAGCAATTCACATAGTGGTGTAGAGGAAACCAAAACAAATTCATTTTCCTTAACTTCAGTGGGTTGTTTAGTACCTCTCAGTAACTGTAACACATAGCAGATATTCCTGTGTATTCCTAGGCTGCATTTCTTTACCCTGTAGCCTTGCTTTCTACCTCACAGGGAAATCTATTCAAATCCCCATGCTTGCTCTCGTACCTATGAATAAACCTCTGCATTTGCTTTTACCTCATTTTTCTTCTCCAGTCTCTAAGGAGGAGAGGGACTATCATGGTTCAAGATTAATTTTCACATCTAAGCTTCTGATCTGATCTCCTTTGACCAGGAATTACACATTCAATTACTTGGTCTTCCCTCTTTCCTGAATCTGCAACATCTGTTGTTTCCTTTTCCAAAAGTTATATCTATCCTTTTGTTTGAATTTGTTTTCCTTAGCTTTTCATAAGAATGCCAAAACAAAACAAAACAAGACTCTTGACTCTTTATTCCTTCAGCCCTCACTCTCTCTCCTTAAAACTACTATGCATTGAATTTCTTCACAGTTGCTCTTTTATAGTTAAATTTTATTTGTACCTTTTATTATGCTAGAATGATTCTGACAAATGTTTTAATGTCTTATTTGAGTAATTCAGAAAAAAATTATTTAAATATATACATTTGATTAGTTAAATCTGTAACTCATATGGACTCTCCTTCCCCGCATTTATTTTACAATGATTTGAAATATGATATACCTTTATGTCCTGTTAAGTTCTGATTGATGTGAATGACTAGAAAATGTTAGATTGACAGCTATTTTCCATCAGCACTTTGAAGATATTGCAGTATTCTGTTACCTTCTGACCATTATTAGTACGTCTGTGAAATCTACTGTGAGTCAAATGATTGTGCTTCTATGCAGTAATGTGTCCTGTGTCTTTTCTCAGTTTTTTAAGTGGAAGTTTGCATAAAAGTAGCGAGAATTGCATATTAACCGTGACATACCAATCGCCCAGCTTCAAGAATTATAAAAATTTTTCCAATATTGTGAAATCTGTATTCTTCTTTTTGTCTAGTAGAACCAACATATTCCAGATGTGTTTTCTTTGTACTTGAATACATACACAACACAAATGCACAAAGTTTTGTTTTGTATTATTATAATATTCATGCCATATTGAGCCTACCATAATAAATAATTTATATTTTAACATATTTTAATGCCTAGTCCATGTTTAAATTTTTCCAATTGACTAAAATGCCTTTTAGCAGTTGATTCACTCAAATAGGAATGAAAACAAGGCCAACAGTACATTTGTATATTATGTCTCTCAAAATGTCTTAATCTACACTAATTGCCTCATCTTTCTTTTTCCAGTCTATGTATTCTTGGAGAAATTGAGTCTTTAATATAGATACTTTCTGGATAAAACTGATTGCTTCCTTACAAGGTCCTTTAACTTGTTACTCTTCTCACTTTTAATAATTAAAATTATAATTAGATCTAGATAGTTGCTTAGATAAGGCAGATCGTTTTACAAGAATAATTTATAGGTTATGACTTGTATTCTCATGATATAACATTAATATACACAAAACACATGTGGTGCAATTTAAGCAATGCTATGATTGATCAGCAAGTTCAGGTGTCATCAGCATGATTTAGACAATATAAAATTTCTCCTCAAATTTTACCTTATTTTGCACTGTCCACTTAGTATGATTGACTAGATATATAATGATTTTAGAGGATTGATTTTTTTCTGCACCTATTATGTAGAAGAATGTTTTTCTTATCTACCATTTGTTTACAAAAAAGAGAATATCTGCTTAACTTCCCCTTTATTTATTAGTTTTGAGAGTAATAAGTTGGTTCCCTAGAATCTCAAATGGATTTCAGACATTTGATGTGTTTTAATAAATGTCAGTCATTATTCATTTTAATGTTCCAATTGTTCCATTCTCAGCTAGCAAAAGTCCCCTCAAGTTTTCTCCTCTATCCTTTTTGACATAGTCCTAGTAGCTTCTTACTTTCCAATACAACAAGATTCCTTACCTTGGTGTGCACCTTCAGCCTGATTCAGAATGTTTCTTCCCTAACCCTAATTGTTTAAGGAATAAATAGCATTTAGAAAACACAGTCTGGGTGTTTGGCATGCAAATTATTATTTGAACATAATTTTCCAGGAATTTTAAGTAGAGACCTAAGAAAGGCATGTATTTCTGAAAGAATAAGTAATTTGAATTTTAATATTACAGTGATTTACTTAAACTTTAACAAATTTTGCTCTGGTTTTATTTCTTTTGCTGAAAGTCTTGGTTTTTAAAAGTTAGCAATTTTTGTTTGTGCTACAGTATACATACAATAGTTTCTAATGGAAATAATATTATCAATTCTGAAATAAGACTCCTCAGTGAAGTTTAACTTTTCTTCGCATATTTATTTGTACTCTGTGCTAAGGCTTACAATCAATATGCACCTGTTTTAAGATCACTTGTTACAATTGATTTTGTTGCCATTTGTCTTCAAGTTTTAGCATTTTTATCTATATTTCTTTCTAAAGTATGGAAAATGGTTACATTCTTTCAAAGTAAAAACAACAAAACAAGTTGCAGGTAGAGAATTCTTGCTTTCCTCTTTGTCCTCTCCATCCTATCTTATTTACTCTCTCCCCAATAGTAACCATTTCATTACATTTTGTCTTTCTTTTCATTGTTGCTTTTTGAAATAGGATATACACAAATATATATTTTTTACTTATCATATATTATATTTAATTTATATATATTATTATATATTGCATAATGTATATTTAACATATATATTTCCCCCCAGACTTACCTTCAAAGAAATATTAGATATACTAGAGATATCAGAGAAACTAGATAAGTATGTAATTTTACCTTCAGAGTTTTTCAGTTTCATTACAGTCTTAAGTTTTGGATTATTTGTGTAAGTAGCCCCTGTTGGAGCAGGGCTAATCCATTGCAACTCAAAGATTTTATTATTTAAATACTATTAAGCAACTTGTATTTGTCTCTTACATTAGTTTCTCTATTGAGATTTTAGTTTAATTACCACATGTTTGATTTCTACAATTTTTATATGATACTTTTTCAAATATACCTTTTTTATTTTTTAAACATCTTACTCTTTTTTGTCTGATTAAGTCTAATACTTCATTTATCTCAATATTTTATACATGTTGCAATGGCTCTATCACTGTAAGTGCCTAGACTCTTGTCAGTAAGGTGTCCTGAAGCTTAAGCTTCTTAAGCTTTAAGGTAATTCTGCCTCTGGTCACGCTTCATTTCCTGCTTCAAGGAGACATTCCATGAAGTTCTTTCAATGCAAAGAAGCCCAGATGCCTTCCTCAAATTCCTTTCTTCACCTTAATCTTGTACTTGGGTGTAAGGGCAGAATTTTTCCCATTGAAGTAGCTCTTTTGATCCCATGCAGTAGTAGGCAGGAAATTGTCTTCCCAAAAGAGATTTATGTCCTAAGTCCTGAATCTCTGAATGTTACTTTATATGGCAAAAAAAAGGTATTTTCGGATGAGAGTTTATTAAGCACCTTGAGATGGGGAGATTTTTCTGCATTATATGGTTGGGCCCAAAATAAGATCATGTCTGTCCTTATAAAATGGGGACAGAAAGAGATTTTGACACAGAGCAGAGAAAGATTTTCAGACGCTGGTCTTGAAGACTGGAGGGATGCGGCCACAAAACAAGGACACTGGCAGCCACCAGAAGCTGGAGGAGACAAGGAGCACGTTTCCCTGCAGCCTCTTCATGGAGCACGGCCTGGTGACTCCTGGATTTTGGCCCAGTGATACTGATTTCAGACTTCTTGCTTCCAGAACTACAAGCAAATAAATATGTATTTTAAACTACAAAGTTACTGCTAATTCATTACAGCATAAAAACACACTCGTCATGACAGGAATTTTATTGTCTCAGAATTCATGAAATAAGAATCAAATACCAACAGTTTTTTCTACCCGAAGCCCATAGGCCACATGCCAACATCTCCAAGCTGTGATTAGAAACTTTCAACCCCTTTTTGGACATAGACACATCACAGACTTCTGCTCTTAAGCGATTACTCATTTGGGGGTGAGAGGACAAACTTTTCCCCTGTCAGTCACGGCATTTGTGCAATGGATGTCTGGAATCCTCAGATGGTCTTGCAGTGGCCGGAGAATGGACAGTGCTCTGAGAATCTCTTCTAAAGGCTTTCTCTGGATCTTCCTCCCTTCAGTTCCTTGCCTTATTTCAATTTCCCTGCCCCAACATTCTGATGAGAGTCCTGTGTATTCCTAATGCCCTATAGCTTTCCAAAAAGATGCCCTGATCTATCTGGAAAAGTACATGAATTTATACTATCTCAAAATAGATCATGTTGGGGATAATGGTTGAGAGAAGCAAGAAGATTTTAAATAAGAAAATCTATTAATTAAGATAAACTAGTCTACTCCATAGACTTGTATTTTATAAATTTTATTTTAAAGTTATTTCATACATTTTATTTTAAATGAGAGTATAATAAGAACACTTAAGCTGCAAAAAATATCTATTCATTAAATTTTAGTTCCATTAGTTTATCAGATAAAGATCCTGATTTTCTTTTTCGGTTTCATTCTAGATAAGGTTATATTATTTTTCATTTGTAAAAGAAACTATAATTCACTACAATTTATAACAATTTCTAGTTGCTTCATTTTGATCTACAACACAAATGTGCATCATATAATGCACACTTATTCAAGTACATTTGTCATTTCAGATATACATACATTGTTTGTTAAAGCTAAATTCACTTTTTAATTTTTTGCTTTTGCATGATATATGTTTTAGAAGTGTTCACTGTCAGAAGGAATTTTATACAGAAATGCAATCTTTTAAGTTACAGATTTATTAGGCTCTGCTCAAAACATTGACTTCTCAAATACAAGTGTTTAACCACTTGGGTCCGGCGCCCACAGCCGAGACCCGGCCCGCGGCGGCGCGCACGGTCTGCACGTGGTCGGCGCGCAGGTCCGCGCGGGGTGGGCGCGCACGGTCTGCACGTGGTCGGCGCGCGGTCTGCACGTGGTCGGCGCGCGGTCTGCACGTGGTCGGCGCACGGTCTGCACGTGGTCGGCGCACACGGTCTGCACGTGGTCGGCGCGCAGGTCCGCGCGGGGTGGGCGCGCACGGTCCGCACGTGGTCGACGCACGGTCCCCGCGGGGTCTGCCCGCAGGTCCGTGCGGGTCTGCGCTGCGCACTGAGGGACCCATTCGCTCGTGTGTGACGAGGAAAGCTGAAGCACTGACAGCTTGTTCTACTTCACAGGCAGCCTTACTTGTCATGTAAATCAGAATAGGTAACATATACAAATATATTTTCATTACGTTATTTTTAAATGTTCACAATTCTATTTTGATAAATGAAAAATTAGAAAAGCCACTTCACGGCTGTCGGCAAAGTCGCTGTGCGTTCACCTGTGGCCGCCGACTATAGTTGAGTCTCGCGCGGAAGTGGTTAAGAGGTGATAGTGAGCTTCAGGAAAAGCTTACAGAAAATGTCTTTTTAAGCATTCAATTAAGTGCCCTGACTTTAGCACCTCAATGTGAGATATTTTACTTTCTGAAAAGTAATAATAAAATGCTGATAATATAAGTCAATCCTTATAATGTTAAAAATTCCCTTCTAATTACTAGTATCTGAAAGTGGGATGAAGTAAAATTAATTCTAGTTCTTTAACTCAGAACAATCTGAGGAAAGACATTAAAATATAATAATTGATACATTCTTGACTAGAAAACAATTACCTTTCATTATAGATGCCATAAGTCATTGTCCCTGCAGTTTGAAGGGAACTCTATATAATCATTATTATGCTTATTTTTTCCATTGGGTATAAGTTTAGTATTGAACATAGCATATAATTAGAAACTTATAATTTAGAATCAGGACATGTGCCTTTAAAAAACAAGTTTAATAGAGCCATTTGAATATACTACCCAAAACAAGCCGATAATTCAAAACCTTAATTATTATAATATCAACAATAACAATAACCACCACCTCCAAAGTGTGTCACACATATACTATGTATTTATCAGGTCCTGGGGAAAATAGGAGGACAAAGTTAATTCAAGTTAGATGAGCAAAGACCTTTCTACACCTTTCCCTTCTTTTAAATTCCACTGGAAAAAAAGGAATATGAAATAGGATGTCAAAAATGGGAAGGTTCTAGCTGACATCCACCTACAAAATCAGTGATTTAGCAACTTGCACTAATGAATACAGCTTTGGGAACACTCCAGCGCCAAGAAGAATCTCATAAACCACAGTGTGCAGCAGTTCCACTGTGCACTGGTTTCCTTTGTCTGAGTCCAGTGAGGTAGAATGTCCACACATATAACAAGTTACACGACATGGGTTTGCTACTTCCACACAGGGAGCAAGGGGCAACACACACCTAGGATTCATCGTGAGCCTTTTCCCCAAGGCTCAGGAAATGTGCCTGGATTAGACAGTTTACGCTGGGCAACTGGCTGGAACTGCTTAAGGTCTACAGTTGCTTATCGGGAAAGAATGGTGTGTAAGGCTGGTCCTCTGGCCAATCAGGGTTGCAGTGGCCTGACTGTAAATCAGAGTTGGAAAAGGTCCAACGATTTTCCTAATAGCTCCTATTGTTAGGAATTTTAGTAAGAGTTTTCCGTGTAGCCATAGGAATTTAGGAAGTTGCCATGCCAGCTGAGCCCTGCACTCTCTAGCCACAGGAAACTTTTGTTTCCTTAACTGTAGAGTTCATCATAGTTGATAAAGGTGTGTTTGTTTTGGTTTCACAAATCACATAGATGAACCTGAAGGATATTATGCTAAGTGAAATAAGCCAGGCACAGAAAGACAAATACCATATAATCTCACTTAAATGTGGAATCTAAAATAGTCTGACTCATGGAAGCAGGGAGTAAAGTGGTGGTGGCCATTTTCTGGGGGAGAGAGAGCAAAGGGTATATATTGGTCAAGGGGCACAAAATTTTAGTAATGTAAGTTGCAACATAATAAAATATATATTTTATCCATGTTCTGGTTTCCTGACACACAGTTTCTAAAACTCTTGGGATTGCCCAAGTGATGTGTCTGTTTGTATAACAGTGAGATGACTGGTGACTAGGGGCTCCTGGATAACTTCAAAATGGGAGCTGGCTGCCAGGAGAACAGACCATGTAATTAGAGCATTAGAAATTTCAACCTTAGCCCTGGACCTCAGAGGAGGGGAGAAGAAATAAAGGTTGAATTGCTCACTGATGCCCATGAATTAATTAATCATACCTATGTAATGAGGCCTCCATTAATGCCCAAAGGACAGGGTTTAGAGAACGTCTGGGTTGCTGAGCACTCGGAGGTCCTAGGAGGCAGTGGTGGAAGCATGCCCGGAGAGGGCATGGAAGCTCCGGTGCCTGCCCATGCACCTCTTTATCTGGCTGCTCATCTGTACCCTTCTAATACCTTTTATAATAAACCTGCAAACACAATTGTTTCCTGAAGTTTTGTAAGCTGCTCTAGCAATAATAGCACCCGATGACAGAGTCATGGGAACCTCCAATTTATAGCAGGCTGGCCTCAAGCACAAATGACAACCTGGGGCTTGCACTGGCATCTGACATGAGGGGGCAGGCCTTGGGACTGAACCTTTAACCTGTGGGGTCTGTGCTAACTCTTCTTAGATTCACAATGAATTGAATCATAGGGCACCCAGTTGTTACTGCTGGATGTGGGGAAAAGTCCCATACATCTGGTCGAAGCAGTCATCTGTGTTGAATGTAGAGTAGGAGAAAATAATTTTTTCCTATGATATGCAAAGATGAATAAGTTCTGAAGATCAAAATATGACATGGTAGTCATAGTTTATTTTTTTTATTTCAGCATATTATGGGGGTACAAATCTGTCCCCCTCAAGTCAGAGGTTCAAGTGTGACCATTTCCCAGACAGTGCACATCTCCCTCATTGTGTATGTATATACCTGTCCCCTCCCCCCAACTCCCACCTGCCCAATACCCAATAAATGTAATTCCACTTATGTGCTGATAGGTTAATACCAATTTGCTGGTGAGTACATGTGGTGTTTGTTTTTCTATTCTTGGGGTACTTCACTTAGTAGTATGGGTTCCAGCTCTATCCAGGAAAATAAAAGAGGTGCTAGATCACCATTGTTTCTTAGAGCTGAATACTATTCCATGGTATACGTATACCACATTTTATTAATCCACTCATGCATTGATGGGCACTTAGGTTGTTTCCACAGCTTTGCAATTGTGAATTGTGCTGCTATAAACATTCGAGTGCAGATGTCTTTATTGTAGATAGTCCTTTGTTCTTTTGGGTAGATGCCCAGTAGTGGGATTTCTGGATCAAATGGTAGATCTACTTGTATCGCTTTAAGGTATCTCCATATTGCTTTCCACAGAGATTGCACTAGTTTGCAGTCCCACCAGTAGTGTAGGAGTGTTCTTATCTCTCCGCATCCATGCCAACATTTATTATTTTGGGAATTTTTGATAAAGGCCATTCTTATTGGTATAAGTGATATCTCATTGCGGTTTTGACTTGCATTTCCCTGATGATTAGAGATATTGAGCATTTTTTCATATGTTTGTTAGCCATTATTCTTTCTTCTTTTGAAAAGTTTCTATTCATGTCCTTTGCCCATTTTTTGATAGGGTTGTTTGATTTTTTTCTTGCTGATTTTCATGAGTTCTAAGTAGATTCTAGTTATCAGCCCCTTATCAGATGTGTAGGATGTGAAAATTTTCTCCTATTTTGTAGGTTCTCTGCTCTCATGACTGTTTCTTTGGCTGTGCAGAAGCTTTTCAGTTTGATCAGGTGGTCCCATTTGTTTATTTTTGTTGCTGCTGTGATTGCCTTTGGGGTCTTCTTCATAAATGTCTAGGAGAGTGTTTCCAATGTTTTCCTCTAGAATTCTAATAGTTTCATACCTTAGGTTTAGGTATGTTATCCAGCATGAGTTGATTTTTTTGAGAGGTGAAAGGTGTGGATCCCATTTCAATCTTCTACAGGTGGCTATCCAGTTTTCTCAGCACCATTTATTGAATAAAGATTCTTTCCCCCAGTGTATGTTTTTGTCTGCTTTGTCAAAGATTAGATGGCTATATAAAGATGGTTTTATATCAGGGTTTTCAGTTCTGTTCCACTGGTCAATGTCCCTGTTTTTGTGCAATACCAAGCTGATTTAATTACTACAGCTTTGTAGTATACTTTGGAATCTGGCATATTGAAACTTCCTATTTTGTTTTTATTGCCTAGAATTGCTTTTGATATATGGGGTCTTCTCTTGTTCCAAATGAAGTGTAAAAATTATAGTCAATCATACTGTATTTTGTACTTGAAATTTGCTAGGATAGTAGATCTTAAATGTTTTCAACAAACACACATACATACACCACAATGTTAAATATGTGAGGATGTGGATATTTTAATTAGCTTGACTATGGTGATCAATCTGTCTATATATCAAAACTCCAAAATGTGTACCTTTTATATGTAAAATTATATTCATCAATTATACCTTAGTAAAGCTGAACAAAAATATATTAAATAAATATAAATTCACAGCAATTTTACAAAGAAGGAAGGGTATTATCAGGAGTGACTGCAAAAAATAAATTGATATTAGAAATAGAAAGTAGATCTGGGTGGTAGAATAGGGAAAAAAATGAAAGTATGGTTGAAAAAACAGTGTTTCAATCCTGAGCACCAAGTAACGATGCCAGTATTTGTGCTTAGGCTAGAGCCAAGAATAGCAACTCTTTGAGGTGGGTACTTCTAAAGTAAGTGGCGAGTCTAGATAAATCAGAAATAAGGTGACCTGTCGCCCCAGGAGAGCGAGGGCCTCTTGCTCACATCAAGACCTCCTCTCTGTCTATTGCTCTGTCTACCATTCTGCATAACTTCAGTGGCCTTGGCTCTAACAATTTTATGTAGGGTGAGTACCCTGCAAGCCCCAACGTCACCACTATGCAATTCATCCACGTATCAAAAAATCACTTGTCCCTCTAAAAAAAAGAAAAAAAATCATCACTTGCTTTGGTGAAATGCACTCTAGTCACCAATATTGTGGAATCCAGATATTCTAACATGGCCAGAAAACTAAAAATCACCATACATTCATAACATGCCTTTAGTTTGAAAGTTGGAAAGTTTTTTCCCAACAAAATTTAATCAAAGAAACAACAAAAGTTTAAAATAATGAAAATTATATATATATATATATATATACAAAAATATTGAGGATATGTTACTGATGATCAACAAAATGTCTTTAGTGTAAAAGTTTGATACAAATAAAGGTGTTTGAATATAGAAAATAGACATTTTTAAAGCTCTGTATTTGAACCTAATAGCAGAAAAGCACAGCTACAGTTTGAACCGCTGGGAAGCATGTTTAAAGTAAATGCATTTTAAAACTAAAGTGTCACAGATATAAAACTAGAAGTCTCAAACTTTTGCTTACACCAGTTTAAAAATTCAAGTACAAAGAAAAGAGATAGACATTAACAAAGCAATAATTGCATTTAAAAATGATATTTTTGTTTGGCACACAGTGAAAATAGTGAAATATATGATATACCTAAGTAATAAAATATAAGAACTCCAATAATAAAAAAAATTTCAGAAGATAAAAACAATAAAAACTTCAAAAAGGTAAACTCTTAAGTGAACATCTTTCATATTGCTATCCATTTTTTTCACACAAAATTGACATAAAGGAGCAAAATTGTCACGGTTATGGAGGAAAAAAATGATTTTGAACATAGGACTATGTCCCTGGTAAAGAAATAAAACTGCTCAAATTTAAGGACACAATAAAGAGGTTTCCATAAATGTAAGAATTTAAAGTATTGATGAGAAAGAAAGTATTAATGTGAGAGAGCTCTAAGAAACCATTATAATATAGTAATAATACAAATAAAACAATAAACACTAAATGATATTGTTTTTACAACTTAGAGATATAATATTAAAAATTGCTAAATGATTTCACAGTATATGGAAGGTTACAGGAGAAAATGGATGTAGTGAATGCTTCCTATGAGTGCAAAGAGATTTCAAGAATTGATTTGTTCTCATCAATGGTAGAAAAAAAATGGTATTTAAATATGTGTCTTAAGGTGTATGACTTTAGCTGTATTTCCTCTTTAGCCTCCTAGAATTCCAATGAAAATGAAAGAACTTCAATCAACAAAATTATTAAGTCTATACGAAGCCTGAGGACAAGGAATGTGAAACAGCAGCAATCATTCTAAATACTTTCAGAATATAGTAAGAATTATGTTGAAAAATGAAGAAGCAGCTCCTCAGACACAAACTGTAACAGTAGAAGACTAGAGCAGAGATGTGAGTGATTCTTCTCACCATGGTCCAAGAATTTCCAAGGTAATTGCAAGTACAGGTAGCAAACGTGGGCTTGGGTACGATGAGCAGATGATTGAAGGACGTACATTCAATTACATGGCAGCCTTTCCAACGTTGGCCCTACCAGTGCAAAAGACAGGAGTAAGAATACTGGACCCCAAGAGAAAACCAGTAATGAGTTTTCTAAACAAATTGAATAGCATTGAAGATGCTAGAGATTTTAGTAAAGATTGGTGCCTCTGAGTAATTGGGTTCAGGGCATTCTCATGGCCTGTGCTGTCCACCTAAACCCTCTAAAATGAGACTTGCAGGTAGACGCATTCCTCCTACGTATAATCAACCTACCCAATCTGGGTGAGGACTATAGAAACAAATCTGTATGATAGCAAAGGAAATCCATATCCATTACAAATACCGATGGACTTTCATGAACATAAATTAACAGCTGAGAATAAAATGGAAATGATAGATGAATAAAGTAATCTCAGATGGAACAAAACCATTGCAGGAATTATAAAATGGATAAGTTTATGTGTCAACTTGACTAGGCCATGGCATACCCTACCCAGATATCTGGTTAAACAGGGTTATTTCTGGTTGTCTCTGTGAGGTAAGAGAAATGTTTTTTGTTTTTATATTATTTCAAAATATTATAGGTGTTCAAATGTTTAGTTTGCATATATTGCCTTTGCCCTGCCTAAGTCAGAGCTACGAGGGTGCGCCTCCCCCAGGCAGTGTGAGGAAGGGGATTTGCAGGAGGGATTAGCATTTGCATTGGCAGACTGAGTAAAGCAGGTGGCCTTCCCCAATATGAGTGGGCTACAACCGGCCCACGAAGGCCCGAATGGAACAAAAGGTGGAGGAAGCTTGGATTTACCCTCCCTTTGCCTGACTGCTTGAGCTGGAACGTCAGTCCTCTCTGGCCCTCGGACTGGGATTTAACCCATCAGCCCTCAGTTTCTCATGCCTTCGGACTGGGACTGAGAATCACACCACTGGTTCACCTGGTTCTCAGGCCTTCGGAGTTGGACCTAAACTATACCACAGGCTTTCCTGGATCTCCAGCTAGCAGACAGCAGATCTTGAAATATCTTACTCTTCACAATCCTTTGAGCCAATTCCTCATAATGCATCCTTTTGTGTGTGTGTGTGTGTGTGTGTGTGTGTGTGTGTGTGTCTCATCCTATGGTTTCTGTTCCTCTGGAAAACACTGACTAATACAGTGTTATTATAAAGAGTTTCAAGACAATAGTGTACTTTTAAAAAAATAAGTACATTTAGCAAAGAAATAAATTCTTAAAAATTAAAATAAGATTGAAGAAATAAAATTAATTAAAAATCTCTTGCAACACAGAGACAAAAGCTAAAATAATTGAAATAAGAGAGAGAAGTTAGAAAAGCATAGAGGAAGAATGCAGGACATCCAAACTGGTAATCAAGGAAGCAGTTAGTACTTGGGGAGGAGCAAATATCTGGCAAGGTAATCAAGGAGAAATGTTTCAGAGCAGAACAAAGAATGGTTAGAAATTAAAGAGATTTGTTAAAATGTCCTACACTTTCAAAAATTATAAGAAAAATAATTTGGATTATCTTTGTGACAAAGTATGAGTACTTGCTTATTCATTTAAGGAAAGATGTGAAATGAAAGCAATTATAAGCCCTAGGAGAAAACAATACATATAACTGTGGAAAGAATTCTTAGGAGAGATAGAAAGCCAGCTAAAATACACTGTAATTGTCAGAAAACTGATGAAATTAAAGATAGAAAATCTATTTGAATCTGAATTTTATAACAATCTCTGTTGAATAATAATATTTAATGATATAGAATTACATTTCATAGTCTATGGGTACTGTCTATTTCTTATCAATAAAATAAACACAATCTTACTATTAGTTGACTAAATTTTCCAGTGAAGTCTTATACATAAATGCCTGGAGATTGTAAAGTCACATAGTTCAGTTCTAAAACTTGAGACCATCACCGTTACCTGCCTGAAGCCATAAAAGCCCACTGGCTCCAGAATGCTGTGAATGCAGCGTTGGCAGCATGACGGCGTTTATGATGTTTCCTCATGATCATAAAGGCACAGACATACAGGAACACACACACACACACGCACACACACGCACGCACACACACACACACGCGCACACACGCACACACGCGCGCGCGCACACACACACACACGTATATCCTTCATAACCCCTAGACAGAGATAGCACTGCAAAAGAAAGCAAGCAGAAAAAGAAAGCAAATATTAAAAAAAGTATGAGACTATTAAAAGTTATTAGTTCTGAAAGGCAAAAAATAATGAAATAAGAAGGCATACTTCACTGTCACCATGGTGATGATTTATGGTTTAGAACAGAGCACCATATTGATAGGCAGCATTTATTATTCTTTTCTTTATTAATTCTATTATTATTTATATAGCTGATAAATGCCATGATGATAATATAGAAACATGTTCAGGGTAAATAAACAGGACATTAACTGAAAATCATTACATAAACCAAGCAGGTATTTCTTAATTTTTATCTTCTAAAGTAAGCCTAGGGGCCTGGACCACTTTTAACTATAATTTTCTTTCTCTTTTAAGCATGCCCACCTGTATCTTTCTTAATATATTCAATCTCTGGCATATCCTTATCTATTCAAATTCTACTAAATTTCTACATCCAATTTTTATCCCATTCCACCCATAATTTCGAACAATTATTTTACTAAGAATTTATTGCACTTTATATTTACCTTTTTTGCAGTATATTATTATTTCCTTACCTCTTCGATAGTACCACATGCCACTGAGAAAATATCATAATTTTTAAAAGAATCAGATTGCCGTTGTAATTCTGCAACTAGTAAGCATCGTTTTCTCACCAAGTCAAAATTCTCAGTTTCTCACTTATAAGATGAAGGTATCTAGATGGTTTATTCAATTGGCATAACTCTAAAATACTGAATGTTATATTTCTTTTATATATCTCAAACCTCTGCAAACTGAAGAAATATAATTTCAGATGTGGAAAGGACTTTACAATTCACCTAATTCAATTCCTTTTTGGCTGTTGCAATGAATTCATGTTACTGATTTATTCATTTGTCCATCAAATATTTATTGAACAGTTTCTATGCCAGAAATTGTGTGAAGTGCCAGGAAAATAAAGATGAATGCTGAATATTTTAGGATTGTAGCAAAGGGGAAGAAATTGGAAAAATAGGTATATAATTATTATGCTATTTAGTAAAGGCACTGATAGAGTATGAAAAGAGAATTGTTGAAAACAGAAGGTATCATGAGGAGGTTAGGAAAATCAGTCTGGAAGTAGTAATGCCAGAGTAATAGCTGAAGTATAAAGGATTTCTAGAAAGTAGATTAAAGAAGTAATAGAAACTCAGAGACACTCAGGGAAAAGGCAAGGAAGCAAGACACACCATAACATGTGTGGGTAACTATGGACAGTTTTTGCTGGTATATAAAACTATGACGCCGGAATGGTGAGGAGAGAGTGGTCAAGGCACAGTCCATGTATAACTTGGCAACTTGATGTTTCCATGGTAGGCTTCTTTGAGCTTCCACAACAGAATCACATGGCTTGCTAGCCAAGCATGCAATTCTTGAGCCCCATCTTGGGGACAGTGAATAAGAATCTCAGGGAGTTTGAGTCTGCAAGTATAAATATGCAACAACATGGGCATGTAATTTTACATATGCTAGAGTGCCTACATCTTAGACCTCAGAAAAGACTGAACTATATCAAAGATAAGGCAAAGACTGGAATCATAGAAATCAATCAATAGCCCAACTATGAAATGATACTGAGGAACTAAAGCAGTGGCAATGGGAATTGAGACTTGATGACAGATGGCATGTGGAGCATACAAGAAAAAGGTCAAGAAAACTCTAGTTTTGCAGAAAAAAAAAATTCTGAAAGCCCCATTTTACTATGTTTATAAACTCATGTGACAATAAAGGGCCATTGGCAATCATTAATTCATTGGAAATTAAGACCCCAAAAGATTAAGTATTTATACTCATAGACAACATGTTTAGATTGAACCCTGAAAAAATAAGCATAAAGGAACAATCTCTAAAGAAAATGTGCATTCTAAAAATGGTATGGATAAATTCTTTTAGGAACATGTCATGGTGTTCTTTGATCTGAAACAGATTAAAGAAGACCAGGGGAGTAATTCATCTTGTAGAGAAGGACTCTGAAACAGCAGCATTTTAAGCAGTCAATAAATCAAATGCTGAGCAAATGTAATTCAGAGAAAAGAAATCCACTGTTTAGACCCGGGTAGGAAAGCAAGTGGGTCATGCTCTGTTCAATGTCAATGCAGCTGAGGTCTACTTAGTTAGGCTTGATGAACTCTATGTAGGAAAACAGGTAAAAGGCAGAGAAGAGAAATGCTAACAATAAAGGTTTAACCTCTAGACTTAGGGCAGAGGCTACTTCCTCTTCGATTTGATACTCTGCCCTTTGATGGATGTGGGTAATTAAAAATCATAAATGTTTGCATCTGTGAAGGTCAGAATCCTAGAATGTCAATGGAAACATTGAAAACTGAGTCTGGTGCATCAATTCTGATGGAGATCATAGAAAAAATAAGAGAAATTTATGCTACTTTGATTATGGACTCAAGCACTATCACTGACCTAACTTCAAAAATAAAGTTTAAGCTCGATGTGAATGCTGTAGAATCATTCATTACTACATCCTCTTCCTTCTCCACTGACAAAACAAAATTAGTGAAAGAAAAAGCCTAAGAGCTTATTTCCAGCCAAGAAACAAATAATCAATTTGCAGCTTATAATTCCATCTGTACATCCCGCTTTTTATTAAAAACAATCTGATTTCCTTAATAAAACCAAGGAAAGGTAGAAACTTCAATAGTGACTAATGGTCTGAAGAGAAGGATGGCAATGAGGTGATTAGGAAACAAAAATTATTTTTACCTGTGCAAACAACAGAAATGTCCTCTGTGGGGCACGTGTGTTTTATGGAAAAGTAGTCTCCAAAAGTAGGGTAATCACTAGATTTAAAGTTAGGGGAGCAGGGGCTGGGTGTATTCACACCTAATGGGTGTGGTGCGCACCATCTGGGGATGGACACACTTGAAGCTCTGACTCTGGTGTACAAAGGCAATATACGTAACCTAAACATTTTACCCCCATAATACGCAGAATTTAAAAATATATTTTAAAAAGGAGATTTAACTTCTAGTTCCAATTCTGCCACTACATATTAGGACTCACTTTTCTTATCTGTAAAATAGAGTGGTTCAATAACTGGCTTCTAATGCTCTATTCATTTCTGATATTCTATGTAACAAAATTTTTTTGTTTAAAGACAGTGGAATAAAGTTTTCTTATTTCCCTCTTTTTATATTCAATGAAACACAACAATGAAAAAAAATATACAAAGATGGAGAAATGTCCCAAGCTGAAACCATAACTGACATGACGCATTTGCCAACACGCTGGGGGCTGAGCTCTGCTGTGAGCTCACTGTGCTACCCTGGTTTCTGCTTACCTGGCTGCAGGTCATCCGATGGTAAGGGTCGCTCATATAAAACAATTTTGATTAAGTGATAATGTTTTGACAAAAGTTGGCCTTTTTTTCCAGTTAGGAAATAATCACAAGTAAACCAACAGCAGGAATTTGCCTTAAAATTTACTTAAAAAAAAGAAAATAAGGTGGAAAAAATGATGTAATTAGAGGCGGACACCTTATAGGAGGTATGGTTCAAACAAAACAGAAAAAGAGAAAAAGTCATCAAAATCTGAGAAAGGTTATAAGTAACATGAACTTTCTCCTTCTATAAAGCCATATTGGAATTAGAATAATGTAAAAAAGAATATAAAGCATTAAGCATTAGACTTCCTAGGAAGGAAATGTAAGAGAAATTAGTGTTAAACAGTATTGAAAATCAAATTATCAAAACAGAAATGAAAGTAACTGAGACAATAACACGGTGGTTAGGCTTAAGTAAGTCACACCAAATAGATGGAGAATATAGTTATATAAGAATTATTATTGATCAGTTACTTATGTAGTTAATATCTGGTTAATTATGAACGAATTGCATGAACCACATAAATGAAATTTTGCATAGTATTCCTATAAAAGTTTAAAAACTGGAAGAAAAGATATTCAACTATCTAGAATAATTTTTTTCTTAAAAAAAGAAAGGTTTGTTATAGTGAATATGTCACTGTGTATCAGAGAGGGAAAGGCAGTAAACATAATCATAAAGAAGACATCCAATGTGGGTCTGGGAAAAAAATAAGTAATAATAAATCCACTATACATGGAAAATTAGTTGGGCCTCAGAATATCATTAAAGGTGACAATGGAGCAAATCCAGCAGAAAATCTGAAGAAAAAAACAGACTAAGAGAGTTATAAATATGCAAATGGCCTTTATGTACAATGATAATGGATAAACATTTGCATCATACTGGAAAATAGGAATAGTTATAAATATTTATTAAAATATTACTTGAATATTAATAAATGAGCAGGTTATGGTTCAAAGTAAAACAAAATGGAGAGAGTACTGCAAAAATTTTATAAGTAGTAAATATATTTAAAAATAGAACAAAGACTAAAAGTCTCAGAGAAAACAGAATTTAAATGCTATGTACCTTTATATTTTAAAATTAACACTAACAAAACAGAAGAGAGAAGTTTATAAGTTGATGTTAGAGTATATATTAATTTCCTCGTTTTCTATGACCTTAATTCATAGAGTCTAATTTAAATACAAATTTTAAATATAATGAGACTATTCTATGAATGTTTAAAACTTTATTTCTTGATTGTGAAGAAAATTTGTCAATTAACATTTCTTATGATCATGAATATTCACTATAAATCCTCTAATACAGCAGTCCCCACGCCCCAGGCCACGGACTGGTGTAGGCATCGCGTTGAGGCCTGTTAGGAACGAGCTCCACACAGCAGGAGGCGAGTGCTGGCTGAGCAA